CAACATTCGACGTTCGAAACCCTAGGGTCAACGCCGGTCAACACGTAACCCTAGGTCGACGCCGGTCAACGCGTAACCCTAGGTCAACGCCAGTCAACGCGCTGCTACCAAAAAGTCAAAGTTCGACGTTCGAAACCCTAGGGTCAACGCCGGTCAACGCGTAACCCTAGGTCAACGCCAGTCAACGCGTTGCAACAAAAAGTCAACATACGGTGGTAGACTCGAGACTCCGACGATGGCCAGGCGATAAACGTAGCGCCGGAAGGACTTCGGCTATTCATCAAAGCATTGAATAGACCGAAAATCGAAGGAGCCAAGAGTTGAAGCTAACTACAGGTCCTTTACGCCGACTGGAGGCTAGACCAATCACATCCAAAGTATTCCAGCCTCTTCTATAAAAGAAACGAGTCTGGAACGCTTTGGAGGGGGTATCTGTAGGCATCAAAAATTGCCTATAGGTCTCCACGAACAGCTCAGTGTTAAGGAACGACAATGAACTCTTCTTAGTATTACCACAACGGGATAATACTAAGGATCGGGTACGGGTGATGTAGATCTGACGAAGAACTCTCTTTGTGTTGAAGTGCTCGATCACTCTTCACTCCGGCAGGGCTTTGCCAATTCTCCAAAATTCCAGATCTGAAAAAATGAAGCCTAAGGCTTGTATTTATAGGCATGAGGGGTTGCGGAGCGGTTAAAACGGGCTAAAGGCCCAAATCTGCCTTGGAGGGTGTCTCTCAAAATCCGGGACACCCCTGGGGTGTCTCAGAAAATCCGAGACACCCCTGGGGTGTCTCGGATCTCGGAAAATCCGAGACACCCCTGGGGTGTCTCGAAAAACCCGAGACACCCCTGGGGTGTCTCGGAATTTTCGAGACACCCCCGGGGTGTCTCACATTGGCCGAGACATTCCGTTAAGGTGCATTCGTCCGCTTCCGCTGTAAGTTCTTCGTCCGAACTCGGATTTTAGTGATTCGAAGTGCGTTGGAAGTCTGACGAAGAGTTCTATCAGCTCCCATGGTTGGATTATCTGTAGAATGAACGAGACACGAAGGGCGTTGTTCTTTTTGTAACATCGCGGGGCTCTCGATTAGCCCGTGCCTTCGTTATTCCGAAATTCTGTCAGCTCACGTAGTTCGTCGGTTTACTTCAATCGTTCACCGACGTCAGTCGAACTCTTGTGAACCAGATAGTGACGTTCATTGTCGTTCCTTAACACTGAGCTGTTTGTGGAGACCTATAGGTAATTTTCGATGCCTACAGAGGTCTACCAATTTAGCTACCTGAAGGCCTTAATTTTAGTACTTTGGGATTGAATCTAGTTACATGAATTTCTTTTTCCTACTTTGACTTGAGAATTGGATAGGATGGCTATCCTTGACTTGTGACGCTTGTGATCGTAAATAAATTTTGAAATGTGATTTTGTTGAGAGTTTTGGAAATTAATTTGTTAAGTCCCGATGAAAAGTATTTGTTTTGTGATATGTTTGATATTGGTTAAAGGATTGATGAGGGGGTGATCCCTACTCTATTTGGCTTTCACTCCTCCTAATTTTTATTGTTTATTTGCTTGAAGACAAGCAAAAGTCTAAGCTTGGGGGAGTTGATAAACACGTAAAATATGCATTATCTTAGTGTGTTTCAAGCATGATTTACGAGTGTTTGATGCATATTTCGTGTTTAGATCGAGGATATTGCTGTTGTTTGTGTTCTTATATGTAGGTATTGGCTCAAGATTGAAAGATTTGATGATCGTTGGAAGTTTTACAAGAGTTTGAAGTAATAACAAGATTTTGAAGGCATGGTTCGTGAAGAAAATGGATGCACGAGTATGAAGAACTGGAATTTCGACCATAATGCAATTTGAATCAAGAAAAACTCAAAAGATAAAAGTTGTATATATCTTCAACAGATTTCCAACGCAATTTGAATGACCTCATTCCGAGGTCGGACGCAAAAATTATAGCCAAAATACCGAAAACTGAAGAAACAAGCACAAAATCAGCAAAACAGCCCCTGCCACACCCTGGTGTGGTGAAGACCATACCTGTGGCGCGGGAATTAGTTATTTTTCAGATTTTTAGGGACATATAAATAGATGTTTTGACTTAGGGTTTTGAATATCTTTTGTTTTCTTCTTTTAGCCATCAACTAGCAACTATTCTATGGTTCAAGTATTGAAGGAAGACATTAATCTCTTGTAGAAGATTGGATTGCAAGTTCTTATTTTGAAGATTTCAATTGAAAGACGGGTTAATTCTTTCCTCTCTTTAATTTATTTCTTCTTATGATTGATTTGCATAATTATTTGATGTCTTCTCTTATTCCAATCATGTGTGAGTAGATTTCTTGTCTAGGGTTGGGAAAGAACCCAACTTTTTGGTGATTGATGATGAATTAATATATGTTCTTGGTGAAAGTTTAGATCTTTAAACTTAATTTCTAGTGTTTTAATTTTGTTGATTCGTTTGATCACCGTATTAGCAATCATAGGTAATTAATTGAAGGACTGAAAGGTGAAGATTAATACCGGATCTCTAGAAATTAAGCAGGGAGCTCGAACCACGAAAGTAGGCTAGATTCCTTGGGGATTTGATTTGGGTTAGCATAAGGCTTAATGAGTTTAGCTTAATCTTAATTCCACGAAAGTATGTTAATTGAGATTAATTAGGCACGATCTTTAGACCTTGAAAGAGGCTTTAGATTAATTTAGGCTAATTCACCCTTTCTAGATTAAACCAACACCAAGAATTGAAATAATCCATCATTAAACACCTAAGTTGTGGTGATAACCCAATCCTAGTCCTTCATTATATTGAATTTCATCCAATTAGTTGTTTATTTTATTTCTTTTATTAAATCTCTTCTAATTTACTCATTGATTTAGCTAGTTGAAAACGTGAAACTTGGTAGATAACCCCTAGTCCTTGTGGGATCAACCTTGATAGCTACAACGAGTCCGTGCGCTTGCGTATTTGCCTATCACACACCGCCTATCTCATCTCGTTAATGCTGAAGTGACGTTGTCCATTCCACGATCGCCCCCTAGCCGACACCTGTAAAGTCAATGCTGACTCAACCGCCGGCCCATACCTAGCCAAAATAGATCAAAATGCTCTTCCTTCATGACCATAAAAGGAAAAACTATTCCCAACACGATGGTAAGCAATTTCTCCGTATTTTTCTCCATTGCACTGAGCTGCGATAGTTCGTCATTTTTTCCTCGCTCAAGTACCCTACTAACTTGATTGTCCGAGGAATAACGGGGAAATCAGACCCCACCTTCTTACGAGTTGCTACACGTGCAGGGAGGAACAACTCAACTCCAAACCAGATATTAGGAGAAGTTAGCTACCCCTAATCAACCCAGTTCTTAACAATTTATCTGTGTGATTGTATAACATTAATAAAGCCAAAAGTACTTAATCATGTTTTTTAACCACGTGCATCGCACGCATATAAAACATAGTTGAGAACAAAATTGGTAGAACAAGATTGAAATCAGAGCTTCTAAGCTGCAACAAACATGAAATTGACAAAGAGAAAGGCAACAACCATTCAATAAATGGTAATCTTCACCGGTAAGGAATGACATTATGACATCTTCAAGATTAGGCTTCAAGCTCAATCTTCATTGCGAAGGAACAACATTATGTGCATCAACTCCTCCCTTCTCCCTCCATGTCTCTCCCTCTCTCACCCTCAAGTTTGAAAAAATGGAAGATTTTGGAGCGGGAGGGGTTACAAAATTCTTCAGGTGATTTGAGATTTTGAGGTAGTTATTTCACCGCCTTACTCCTTACTACGTCATAAATGAGATGCCATGTAAACACGCTCATCAGATTGTTGTATCATGCATTTTGTGCATGAGTAGATTGTTAGAAATTTATCACAGTCAGTGAGAAATTAGGTCGTAACGTTTCGATGTCAACTTAAACTGTCGTAATATCATAATTTGTAAGAATATCACATCAGTAATGAGAGTTCTACTAGAATTACCAATATGGTAATTTTGTTTACTTAAAATAGGGTTAATTGAGAATAGAGCCTCTATAGTATCATCTAATTGTGAATAGATCCCTTATAGTTCTATTAGTTGCGAATAGACACCCTATGTGAATATTTTTTACTCTTAAAATCGTTAAAAATGTTTGAGGAGGTGGATAAATCCGCTTGTATAAGTGAAGATAGTTACCCAATTTTTTTCCTTTTGAAAGAGTCGAAAAAATTCAGTAAATAGGTGTATTTGCACTTGAGCCAATATTATAGACAATCTATTCGCAACAATATAACTATAAGGGGTCTATTCGCAATAACAGAACTACAAGAGGTTTATCCGCAATAATAGAGCTACATAGGGTCTATTTGCAATTGGGTGATACTTCAGGAGGTGTGTTCACAATTAATTAACCCTTTAAAATAAACAAGTTCTTTTAAATAATATTTAAAGATTTGAGGGATTTCTCGAAAATACATTAGAGTTCTGTACTTATTTAAAATTTTAGTTGTGATACTTTTTGGATAAAATTTCAAAACAAACCAATTTTGAAACTTATTTTAAAAAAACGACTTGTTTCAACTTTAATTACCAAAACCGACCTAGTTTCAGCCTCAGGACTGAAACTGGGTTGGTTCTGACGAAAAAAAGTTCCCAAACTTCAAGAGAGTGGAACTTTCGTGAAGTTTTTTACATAACAAAACTTCACGGGAGTTCAAGTCCCATGAAGTTTGTGAGCTTTTTTCGTCAAAACCGACCCAGTTTCAGCCCTGAGGCTGAAACTAGGTCGGTTTTGATAATTAAAGTTGAAACAGTTAATTTTTGAAGAATATTTTTGCAAAAGAGTGGTTTTGAAATTTGTGCATAAATCATCGTTAGAATAGTGATGTAATTTTAAACATGTACATTTCATTGGTTTGACTATTAAATATTTGTTTATTTTTCTAATTTACCGACTTTTTATTTATTACAAATCATATCACATAAGTAGATACCTGCCTTAGGGTTTTCTCTCTCGGGTCTCTGCCTCCCAAGCTCGCCGCTCTCTCTCTCTCTCTCTCTCTCTCTCTTTCTCTAGCGCGTTACCTCACCGACCAAAACGAGAGAGCCAGCTCTCTCTCTCACGTCGCCTCTCTCTGCGCTCGGAGGGGCGTCGATCCGAAGGTAAGATCTCTCAGATCTAACGGATCTTGAACCCTAAAGTTACTTCTTTTGTTGATTTATGATTTACTCTAGTTGCAAATTTTGCTCTTTTAGAGAAAATTTCGAGATTCGTTAGATGATATGAACCCAAATCAAAGTGTGCAATTGGCGGTGAAACTAGTTTCATGATTGTCTAATTTCTTTTCCCAGATTTAGTTTGGTGGAAAACTGAATGTGTGATTCGTATAAGTGTTAAGTCAAAGTAACTATATCTATATTTTAAACATAATTTACAGTGGTTTTATTTTCCAGCAACCTCAGCACTAAATTGTAATTTCAGCCCTTTTCGAGTATTTATTGGAAAGGTGAGCACTTTTGATGCATGCCGATTTTCTTGCTTATTAGAATGTACATGGTTTTACAATTAGTAATTTGAGTCCTGTGTTTCTTGCTTAGCAAAACTAATCTATTAATCAGAATTAATATGTTAATTTGCTTGCTTTTCAAAAGTAATTTCTGTCTTTTTTTCCTTTTTGGGTGGATATGAGTTTACTAGTAAATCCCATTTCCCATTTGGAAGAAAAGGCGACTCTTGTAATTTGGCACTGTTGCCCTAGCTATTCCTGGGAAAAGTTTCGATCTTTTCTAATTCTTGACGATGGATATTACTGCTGGATTTGCTAGCTATTCCTGTCGCTGGATATCTAGGGTTTCTTCTAAAACTGGGACTAAACATATGTTATATCTTTTGGAAGTTCATCTTTGAAGGGATTGAGTTGATAGGACTGTAGATTAAATGCCGTACTTGTGCCTATGATTTGGTGAAAGAGAATCTTTATCTTGTTAATTTATTTCTTAATCGGTTTTCGCTTGTATGCACTCAAAATCCATGGGGAATGTAAAAGGATCATAGAGATATAAAAGGGTCAAGGATTTGAGAGTTGTGGTTGTGCAAAGCGATGGGCTAAACCCATATCTGTTGGCTTGATTAACCCCAATCTAAAGGGTAAAGCATGCTCTCTATACTCATTTTGATATTCACACTGATTGCACTGCTTCATCTCTGACCGTTAGTCACTAGAGAACCAAACATAAATACAAGCTCATGGTATTTAATTCATCAGTATTTTGCTTATTGTATATGGTATTTTTCTATTGATTTGAAAGTTAAACGTTGTTTCTCTCTAGTAAAAATAGTGTAGGCCTGTAGGGTATTTTTGTTCAAAACCTCTAATAGGTCATTGTACTTTTTTGTGAAATTTATCCTTAGATATTTCCTCACTTTTGATTCACCCAAAACCATTTGAAGCCTAAGCTTACCTGGATCAGATGCCTATTGGTGGAATCACTCTGCTGAGGTGCTTGCCTTGAATATCAATTAACTGCTAGGTGTCGACAAATCACTTAGTTTGGACATGAAACTAGCTGAATCAATAGACATTTGAAATTAACATATCTCCCCTTATTATTTCTTTTGAGTGCCAACATTTGTTGCTCAAATACTTTTGGAAACGATATAGGTGCATATCCATATGTGTGATGCATTTGATATTTGTATCTTTGGATTCTTGATTGGTATCTGTTAGGTATTATTTACGTATAAAAAAATTTAGAAGGTATTAGAAGCACATCAACAACATGTAAGGGATCTACTTGAAAGAAGTAAAATGCAATATGATTTTATTTTTTATTTGATTTGTAGGGAATTTATATGATTGATCCTTTTCTACTAAGATCAGTGATTTCTTTAGCAACTACTATTTTTTTTCCACATATCATATTTTATATTGACAAAGTTATTGTATTTCTTTTAGGTATTGTAGCATGTTAAGATAAACAATGTTAGTTCACTCATAATCTTACTATAGTTTTATTCATGATATATATGAATCTTAAGGTTATTAGGATCTACATGCAACCCTAGAGGAAGGGGATGAATAGGGTGTTTTGGCAAACAAAAATATTTTAATTTAAATTATAATACTAATAAGTGAAAGCAAATAAAAACAGCAAAAGCAAACCATAAACACAAGCTTTTTATGTGGTATGGCCCTTGCGCACATCCACAACTTCTATCTCACTCACCCTGTGAGATGTTCCACTATTTAAAAAAGTATCCATATGCCCTAGTTCGTCTGACCGAAAATAGTCTATTACACCCTATTCTATTGTTATTTCAATAGGCAAGAGCCAACAACTTCTAAATAATCTCACAACTCAATTAATCCTGAAGAAGAGATTCTCATCAGATCAGATAAAAAACAACCTGATTAAAATGTTTACAGAAATGAAACTAGATAACAAGACAAAAATCTACGTCCCTAACAATGGCAGATGTCCATAAAGTTATAGATCTTTAAGCTCTGCAGAAATCGCCTACTTGATGAACAATAGAGGGACGAATCTTCTAATTTTTGTTGGACTCGTGGATCTTACGAAAGAAATTAAATCGCTCTTTTTATGAACACTTTTTTGTTTGTTGGAGTTTATTAATCTCATTGATATTAAGCTTGGTTACTGAACCTAAATGGCATCAGATCTGGACTGTCCAGGCATGTTTTATATCTAATCAAATCTGGGCTGTTTGTGCCGATCAATTTGGGTTTGGTACAAGCTAGCATAGTCGAAGGGAACTATCTTGTTCCGTGTTTTCCCAAACTGCTCAATAAAAATGCTATCAGATGTGTTTTATAGTTTGGTATTTATCAAAACCTAAAGGACCTTCAATATGGAGTCAACAAAGGTTTAGCATATCCACGTATCCATCTTGTGTCTTATTCACACTGTTAATTGGTATGGTAGGTGTATGGGTTTACCTTAAATAACCACTGACTTATTGCATTCTTTGGCTGCATTTATTTGTGCTAGTGATGGGAGAAAAAAATAGTTTTCTTATACCAATTGCAAGGGTATCTATGCTTTAACCATGGTGTCAGTACTCTGGTACTTAACCAGAACTTTAGGGGTCTCTTATTGTCTACCAAACCACAGGGTAAACTGTAAATGTTGTTTTCTTTCTGTAGAAATATTTTCTTGTGTTCTTACATCAATTACTTTATTTGCTCTATTTTTGGTTATTGTCTATAATGTCATCACACTTTTGAACACAAATGGAATGGTCGAGGGTCTTATCTTGGTTGAGATCATCTAGTATTTTGGGTTCCATCTTATTTGCTCGTAAACTTTCTACAGGTTCTTGGTATTCTTGTCTTACAGAATATCCACTTAACTCTTTTTCCTCAGTCGCCAGAACCTGGAATCAAGAAAATACAAACTTAAACTTATATTCTTTTCTTAGACCTTACTTTGTCTTATTGCTTTAATTTTTATTTTTTCCCCTTGTCTTCTGCATTTTGATTGTGTTTCTTTGCTACATTTCAGGAAATCTTACTGCTACATTTGATTTAATCAATCAGGTGTCCTTTGTGTGTGTGCGTGCATGTGTTTGTGTGTGTGTGTGGAAGTGGAATGATCTACTGAGAAGTTTTTATGTTGCAAATTTAAGACCACTTTCCTGTATTGATTTTGTAATGCATATATCTACTCAATCTTGGCAGTGTACTGCTTATGTACATGTTCTGGTAAAGTGAAGTTAGTACTCTTTGAATGGTAGTAATAAAGGATTCTTTACATACCTTGGTACATCTCTTGTTGACATACATACTGAATAGAAATTTTGAAGCTCCCTCATGGTTGATATGTCTAAATTGATCCTCTTTTTTACTGAATATATCATTCTTGCTCAGATATGGATGATTGTATGACATATCATTTCTTTCAGGTGTTTTATTTCCTATTACAAGAGTTTTGGTTCAGCTGTGTATGTACAGTATGCAAATTTCGAGGTTCCTCAAAGTTGATTAATTGTTCGAAAAAATGGCAGAGATGATTTCAAGTTTCTGGGGACCTGTCACATCCACGATCGAATTGTGCGAACAGAACTATGCTTATTCATCATATGTTGCAGAATTTTACAACACTATATCCAATGTTCTTTGCATTCTGTTGGCACTTATTGGCCTCATAAATGCCGTAAGGCAAAGGTTTGAGAAAAGATTCAGTGTTCTTCACATATCGAACATGATACTCTCCATTGGGAGCATGGTATTCCATGCTACCTTGCAAAATGTGTAAGTTTCTGTATTATATTTATGTCTGATTTTATTGTGCATCTCCTAACAATATTCTGGTCTTCCTTGTGGCACCCCTAGATATCTCCCAAAACCCAACTAATTAGCAAAGAAATTAATCACCACAGAGCGGAATGGGTAGGAATCTGACAAGAATGGGATTTCTGTTACCCCTAAGGTTTTTGAGGAAGATGCATGAAAAATAATTTGAGCGCAATGCATTAGAAACTATCTATTGCTACCAATCTATATCCTATGTACATTAACCATGGTCTTCTAGGGATCATGTTATCCATCTACTTTTTACATACTTTATGCTTTCTTAAGTTGATGTTTGTGGCAAATCTTATAGTGCTGTACTTCCATGTTGTCTTTGATGGTGCTTATGTAATTTTTACGAAGGGTGGATGCTTGAATGATATTTGAGCGTAAGCTGCTCTTTCAGTGGCAGCATAAATGTTGCCTCACAAATACTTAAAAGCGATGTGGTTTGATGTATAGTTATCACAGACGCTAATGGTATGATACAAAATAAAGATTTTATCTAACGTGTGTTCCTAGACATGCTCTTTGAAGTTATCAAGTCTTCTGGTTAAGATGTTTTAATTGCTTCCAACCTAAGATTTCGTTTTGGAGGCTTCAGCCTATATGGTGTTCTTTGAATTGCTTCTAGCTTGCCATATATATGGTGTAAGAATGTATCAACTCATGTATGATGTAAAACATCGAGCAGGTTAGCTCTCTTTCTAACTAATCATGAAACACCTTTATTTGTTGTATTTCTTATGATAAGATCTTAAACATCATTTATGTTATAGGGAAATTCCACTTTTTTACGCTAACGTCAAATTTTTACAAGTTCACTTTTAATTATCTCAGATTACAACAGAGTGATGAAACACCAATGGTATGGGAGATGCTGCTCTATTTGTATGTCCTTTACTCCCCAGACTGGCATTATAGAAGCACAATGCCCACTTTTCTCTTCTTCTACGGTGCTGCATTTGCTGTTGTCCATTCATTTGTGCGCTTTGGTATCGGCTTTAAAGTACATTACGTTGGACTCTGCCTTCTGTGCGTCCCTCGGATGTACAAATACTACATACATACAAAGGAGGCAGCAGCCCGGAGACTCGCTCAACTCTACGTCGCGACTATCTGTCTCGGGAGTCTCTGTTGGTTGTTTGATCGTATTTTCTGCAAGGAATTATCAAACTGGTATGTGAACCCACAGGGTCATGCTTGGTGGCATGTGCTTATGGGATTCAATTCGTACTTTGCGAACACATTCTTGATGTTCTGTCGTGCACAGCAGCTGGGCTGGGAACCCAGAGTCGTCCACTTTTTTGGATTCTTCCCGTATGTGAAGATCCAGAAACCCAAAAAGCAGTGACGATATCTTGTTTTCTTTTCTTTTTCTTTTTCTATTTTTCTGTTGGTTGGACTACTCTGTTTTGAATTGGGAAGAAAATGTGTTTTTTTGGCAAGCGAGTAAACAACTCTGTACATAGACAGTGATGACTTGGGAGCATTGATGATTGATTTATTATGTGTTGTTACTTCTCTAGCTACAGCTTTGACGATTGAGTAGCCAATTTTGTTAGACCCGAGTCTCAGATATGGTGTTTGGCATCTATTTCTCTCTAATGGCTGCCGGAGGTGTAACTTGGAATGATTCAGGTTGTGTATGCATGATGGTATTTTATGATGCTTTCCGTGTTGTTTTTCTTTTGGGTTAGGTCGATTGGAGGGAGCTGTTTTCACGGGCGTTTAACGTTAAATCTCAGGCGCTACTAGTTCTACTTGTGCTTTTTTACATGTTTTCCGCTCATGTATAGTGATGTGGCAGAATTTCAGTCGAATGACTGGAATGGGGTATTCTTCCTTCTACTATTTATCAAAACTGATGTTACGCGAGCGGTTAAGTTTTAAGCCACGGTGTTCTAAGCCACAACATGAAGGGAGGGTAATTTTTCTCATTTAGCCCTTCTACTGTGTCCACTGACTTCTATTGTGCCCACCGGCAGGTAAGAGCCAACTCATGTGAAGGGATAATGTCGAGTCAAGGACCTCTCTGGGCAGATTGCCGAATGCCCGAGGACGTTATCGTCTTTTATTCTCGAGCCAAGTTTTTGAATTGGATATGATATTTATTAGATTTATATCCCCTTACCGATCATTATATTTGTATTTGCTTATCATCATGAATGCAAATACAGACATGTCTGGGGTAAGAAAAGATCACATCCGTATTTGCGAAAATTAAGTTTAGATACAAATAAAATGAACGAAAATATATGTGGCTACAAAATAGATATGAGAAAGAAGCAAATACAGACATGTCTGGGGTAAGAAAAGATCATATCCGTATTTGCGAAAATTAAGTTTAGATACAAATAAAATGAACGAAAATATATGTCGATACAAAATAGATATGAGAAAGAAGCATAGGCTGAAAAAAAAAATTTATAGTTTGTATGATACAAGAGAGTATGTTAATATGCTCATTATATCGAATGAGACAAGATTAGATATTTGGATCATCAAAACTTACCTGGAACATGTTATTCTAATGGTCAAAATAGTTGTAAGAATACGATTGACGTATATTTAGAAATTTCAAATATGGATCCGGGTATTTCACTACATATTTATATTTGTAACCATATTGTATTAGATACAGATTTTAGCAATCCTATCACAGCCCATTAGGAGACAAGTATGGATACATCTGCATATGTGAATGCTTTTTCGTATCATGCCAGATAACTACGGTACATATATAGAGCATTACGGCAATTTAACGAAACAAAAAACCAAAATCCAAGTACAAGAAGTTAATGTAGAACAAACAAGTGGACACATGATCAATATTAATGATCACAGCGTATGAACAAGGTGGCCAGCGATGCAAACAAGAGACAGTCAACATAGAGAAAAAATTCAAGCAAAAAACCAACACCTAGCAAGTTTTCAACGATAAGTTTTATGTCTCATTATTGAACCAAAAATAATCAAGCTAAGGCTCCAACCCTCCTCTTCTCCACAACAGAAACGCTCCTACTCCTTGGACACATAGCCTCATCGCACTGCCGGTCCTCATCGATCCTCACGATGCGGACTCCCACTGCCACGCTCTGACTTCTCGGAGCTGCAGTGATCGGATGATCCTTCGACCTCTGCGACGCTGTGCGAATGAGGTCACGGATATCATCTTCATTGGAGCCCGTCCTTGATCTGTAGAAGCCGTGGCTCTGGCTGTGAGGCACCGAGGACGCTACGACTACTGACCTGCACGATGGATCGAGTACTAGCGCAGTAGGACGAGGCGTTGACGTCCATAGTCTCTGCGCGGACCAAGGACGTAGGCCGCGGAGGTGCGCTCTTCAAATGTAGTGGCCTAATAAATTGTTGTATGACTTGGGCTTGGTTGCTTTCTCACTTGACTACATAGTTAATAGGAATTGATAATTAGGTGTAGGGGGGGGAGGCAGGGGGGGAGGTAAGGAGAGAAGAAGTAGTAGGATGTTATTGATTATTGGTAATCAGAGTGACGTAGGAAAGTCAATTAATTATTTCGTGTAAAACTCAATAAAAACCTGCACTTTTAGGGATTATCCACGAACCCCTGCTGAAAGCATCATAAGGTTTCGTAGGAAAAGGCTGAAATAAAACCATGAATATTGTAGCGGAAAAATGTCTTATAAAATTTCGAAACTTCCAAAAATTTTCGTCAAAAAAGGAATTGGTGATCAAAATGTTTCGGTGAAACTTACCTAGTTTGTTAAGAGGGTGGCTGAATGGTACCATGTTCTAACTGTAGAATGTTTAGCGGGTCAGAGACAAAAAAGCACTCATTGCACTAGACAAATAACAGCTTTAAAAATTAAGTTCTGTTCCTTAGTTTTGGTGTCGCCAATTGCATTCACAAAAATCGTCATGGGAGCTAAAGCCAAATGGTTTTTGGGAACTGCAAAACTTTGTTATGTTTTTCTTGGTAACTTTGATGATCTACAACTGTAAGAATGAACTAAAAGAACGATGATGTACTCCGCACACAACAAAGTTAACCAAAGTTTACACACACTATTCCTTTACGAGGAGACGTGAGACTAAAGATGTTCAGAAAACATATGAACTTTCTCTCTTTCTTTTCTAAGAAAGAAACGTAGACTGTTTAACGGGTTTTTCAGAGAAGCAATAAAAATGACACATAGACTTATTTGACATATTGTGTGGAATAAGTATATAAACAGAACGCAGCAACAAAAGAATGAGAATGAGAGTAGGTTAGAGAATATAAAAAAGCGGATGGAATATGCAATTTGCAAAACAAAAACGGTCAATACATATAAAATTAATACTATTAATATAATAATATAAACATATATAGAATAATAAAAACATAAATATAAATATAATAAATATTATACAATATTCATATAATATATTATATATATATATAGGAAGAGAGAGAGAAAAGAAGAGAGCAGAGATGAAGAGAGAAACATGAAAGAAACATTTGAACAAAAGTTTCTCTTCAATTAAAACTTGGTAGTCAAGGTGACAATTCGCACCCTAGCATCACACCTCGAAAAGAGAGCCTCACATCTTTAAATATGCTCCATCTTCGAGACGGTGCATGTAGAAGGGGAAGCGAATTTGGACAGAAGCCTCACTACCAAGTGCAATGAAAACGTTAGTACAGGCTCAAGAAGTTTCCATAATTCTCATAATATCGACTATATACTAAAAATAACCATAAATTATATATAACATATATATATATATATTATATTAATATATTATATATATATAGAATATTAAAGAGAGAGAGAGAGAGAGAGAGAGAGAGAAGAGAGAGAGAGAGTTATGTGTAATTAAGTGGAAGAGTCGACAGAATAAGTATACTTTAGTCATTGATGATCACTTGGATTAGAAGATAATAAAATGTAGAGTGAATACCACTCTGTAGAACTTGCATCTACATAAACTTCGATAAAACGCCCACACCCAAATTGGGGTGAAAACCACCCGTAGCTGTTTGAACCCTTCATCCACTCGTATCAAATTTTAAACACGGTTTATCAGATGAAATAGAACTTTTTAACATGGCTCGACGGAGGTAAAACCAACGAGGATTTACCCAGAATTTGGTATGAGTGTAATGGAAAGAAAATGATGATATGAATCTCACAGTCAACCGGAAACGGATCATTGTACCATAATGATAGCTCTAATCAAAATCATACATATGATATAAGAGAAAACGACGAGCAGTTAGTGGCGAAATCACTTTGAAAAGTAGTGACAATACAGTGGTCATAGATATTATAATATGTTGAGTAGGTGTAGTTTAATGACAATTGTGAGTGTTACGGATCGCAGTCTTAAGATGATTATCTAGTGTCGTCTATAGAAAACACTGTTTCTTATATATATATATATAGAAAGATATAAATAAATGATATATAATAATAATATGATTAATAGTATAATTTATATGATGGAATCATATTTATAATAATATTATATCTAATATAATAAATTATTATTATTATTATTTTAAATATTCTAACATATGATAAGTAAATATGGAGCAAACTCTGGTAACCAAAGTTACTTGGTGCGTGAATGGTGAGCAAGAGGTAATCCTTGCCCCTAACTGTCGAACGCGCTATCCAAAGAAAAGCGCATACAACACAACTTGATAGAAGAAACCAAAACTTCCAAATGTGAAATGTATGGTGAACAAAGATTATCCACATCTAACTACAACGTAACTGGGTTACCTAAGTTCATAAAAAATTCAAATTCTCTCTCTCATCTCTCTCATTCATCTCTCTAATAATAAATATATATAATATAATATATATATAATAATATGAACAGAAAAAGCAAAAACTAGATATATTTGAACAATCAGAGTTTAAGCAAAACTAGAAAAGAATACAATTAAAAAATTACTGACGAGAAGCTGGTAGATCCTGAGCTGGGAAACTAAGTAGTAGAGCACACAAACTACTCAAAAAGAAGATTAAAAGCAAGCTCAACTCACACTCAACTAAGCTTCAAACATTAAAAAAAAACTAAAAAAGAGGAACTGGAGGAATTACCAGAGCAGATAAGAACTTTCGCAACTTCTCAAAAAACATCACGCCTGCCATCCCCCGAAAATTATCTGCACAAAGTACTACAAATCATCAGTGCTACATTCTGTCTCACTTAATATAAGCTTTCTAGCATAGGCAAAAGATTCTTTATATTTATTAAAAAGCTTCTTATAAAACACTTGGAGGTCCTACACACAGATCTCAATTCTGGTAACACCAATAAAGGACCATAGGCCTTTTGACAGAAAATGACAAGGCTTGCTTCAGTACTCAATGGAGCGAATAGTCACTTTCACATAGTAGGAGAATCAGCTTTTATTGACCAGAAAAACGTAATATATTAGTACTGCTTTATTTATATATAACTATATTATATATATATATATATATAGTATATAAAAAAATATAAATATCAAGTAAGTTGTGTCATCGTAGGAAGGCGAGAGGTACTACT